AAATCTGAATCTTTAGAGAACGAGGAGAAGCAGAGCAAGTTCCAAATTTTGAGAGAGAGAGGAGAACCAGAGAGAGTTAACTCCAAATTTTATCATCAATTAAGAGCCAATCTTCTTCCCCCTCATCACCCCCAATCCCACGCTACTCAAATTCCAGAGCCAGCAGCCCTCGGTCCGTCCTCATTACCCCCAGTCGTCAAGCACCAGCAGCCCTCGGTCCGTCCTCATTACCCCCAGTCGTCAAGCAAATAACCCAACAGCCTCGTCATTACAAGCAGATAACCCAACAGCCTCGAGCTCGAGAGTCCCGACAGCTCGAGCATAGTCCGATGGCCGCCCCTCCACCCTTACTTCTGTATCCCAGAGCTTTTGGGTGCCCTTGGTCTTTTCCAACTGCTATATATCCCTGGGCTTTTGGGTGCCCTTGGTCATCTCCAATGCTAGCAAGGGCTCATGGCACCCTCTGCACCTTGGCAAGTGACCGTAAGGACTTTACGATAAAACACGATGTACATGTATTTAAAAAAATTTTTACCCTTATACCGGCAAGATAATTTATAATGTCCAATTATAATCAACTACACTTAAAATAAAAAAAATAAAAATAAAACCGATTCTCATTTGCTACATCTTCAAGTACAATTATTTATCAAGAAACAAAACTAGAATTTATTACTTTATGGAAAGTGAAGTAAATATTTAAAAAGGTAAAATTTTCAGATATTAACTCAACCGGACTTAACATACCCGACATTGAATATCTTTTTTTCGATGGTGCTCGAGATCTAATCGGTATGTTGATTTCCCTAACTCTCCTCATTCTCTCTCTAACTCTTATTCTCAAACTTTTGTAAGATTGGGTCTCTCGCTAACTCTTGTGCAGTGATGGTATTTAACTTTTGTGCAATGGGTTTTTCTTTCTAAAATGAAGGTGCAGGTTGCATTTTATACACCGTTCTAGAGAGAGAGAGGGGAAGACTTGGCAGAAATATACAGAGAGTTCTACGGAGGGAAAGCGGAAGACTTGGGCAGCAACAAACCGGGTTTGAGAGATAGAAACAGTATCAGGGACTTTATCGTGGGAGGGAGTGGAGAACGTGTAGATCAAGTCTTTGGAAACAGGAGCAATGATGGGATTATCACCGTTCAATAAAACTTCGTACGGTGATATGCTATGAGACGAGTACTGTGTGAAGTGATCTTTCTACGTCATGCTCCAAATCGTTAGAAAGGGAGGACCGTCGAAAGAGAGAGAAGGGACCAGATTAACCGGGAATTTCATGCCCCAATCTTCTTCCATTAACTTTCACATTGAAACCCGACTGCAACAAAATCAGACTCATCACTTTCACATTAAAACTCAACTGCAATAAAATCAGACTCATCATTTTCACATTGAAACCCAACTGCAACAAAATCAGATTCATCACTCTCACAACTTCATTAACCCCATCCCAATCTCCCCAAATTCAAAACCCACCCCGCCAGCCGTCCGATCCTCGCGAATCTCATTGTCACCGCCACCCTCACCGTTGATAACCCGGACCACCAGATCCCGAGCCCCTCATTGAACTCCTCGTCCTAGCGGTTGATTCCACCATCATTGTATTCATCATTCCTCGTAGTCTATTTGGTAATCATCGTCGTCCAATATATACACCAATAGCCTTGAGCCCTAGACCCCCGACTTGCTCAGCGCCTTACCGCCGCCCAGATGGCCCATCTGTTGGAAATTTGCAGATGCATCCATATAATAATTTGACCAGAAAATAGTAAAAAAATATAATAGAAGTGAAGAGGGGGCAGTATCGACTTACGAATATTTCACTATTTCATTAAATGATTTTGATAACAAACAAATATAATGGTCTTAAAGACTATATAACCTTCTTTTTTAAGTTTCTTTATATATATATATATCTTATATCTCTTTGAGGGATGGATTTTTGGATTCAAAGGTTGTGATTTGTGACTTAAATACTCAATATGTCGAATGTCACCCCTTAAATATTTTTTTATATAATATAGAGTAACCTAAGCATCCTTTTAAGGGTATTTCAATCATTTTATTTTATTTATATTTTTATGGGTACGACTCGAAGAGAGGATAAAATTTGGTGTCAAATATTATATAGAAAAATTAAAAATAAGATAATGCGGAGGAATGACATTGCAAGTGAGAAAGGTTTCTATACTTTCTTTATGGTATAAAGATATATGCTTCTTCTCCTCCCATCCAAGGGACCAATTTAGATCCCAAGATCATTACTTTTATTAGAAATTATTCAAAAGAAATTACATTGTCAGAAACAAGGAGAGAAGGCAAAGAAGTACCCCTTTAGCTAAATAATTAGCCACGTCATTAGCCTATTTATAAACATGCATAAAAGACAATATTCTCATTGTTGTGAAATCCATGACCTGCAACCACAAAGGCCGTAGTTCCCAATGGACCTTTTGTTCCATTCTACACCACTTGATCACATTTAAAGAGTCACCCTCTATTGTGCAACTTGAGCTCAAATTTTTCTCTAAGAAGAGTTTCAGTCCACACAATAGGGCGCTTAATTCTACAAAATTTGCTGTAGTATTTCCTAATGGCCTAGCAAAGGAGAAAATAACATTACCGTAGTAATCTCTTAGAATTTCACCAATTACAGCTCGCCCTGGGTTGCCAAAAGAACTTCCATCATAGTTCAACTTAAAACTTCTTGGTCATGGATCAATCCAAACACTTCTAGGTCTAGGTCTACTATGAGCAAGAAAGAACAAGTTGTGCAAATTAGCCATCACATCTACCTTACTAATACCCCAACCTTCTCTTTGCACAGATAACCGAGACCAGATACTAGATTTACAAACATGGATCAAACGTTCAAATGACCAAACTAATCCGTCAAAAGTTCTTCGATTCCTCTCTTTCCACACCTCCCAAAGTATAGCACCTATAGAAATTTTCCAAATTTTTTGCCCTGTTTTTGGTAGAAAATAGATTTTAAGCGAGGAAACAAATTCCCCAACAAACTGTGGAAGTGGCATTAGAACACCAACCATCCCAAGGAGCCAGTACCACAACCTCACATTAAAAGAGCAATGAATTAAGAGATGAGCTCCATTCTCAGCATCCCCCTTGCACAATAAACACACATTAGGGAGAATTTTCCCCCTTTTAATCAGGTTGTCAACTGTAAAAATTTTATCTTGTGCCGCCAACCAGATAAAAATCTGTACCTTGTGTGGGATTGGCTATTTCCATGTGCAATGTAATTAAAAGACCATCTCCATCTGTCATGAAAAAAAAAATTATAGCATGACTTCACTGAGAAAACACCATCAGTTTCTATCTCCCAAATTAATTCTTTTTTGCCAACATTGGAGACATATACTTTATCTAGAAGTTCCATTAGTTGACACCATTGAACTAAATGCTCATTACTTAATTGTCTATAGGCCACATGGATGTTCTAAGAAACATTTTGGCCTCTCCTTTCTATTGCCTCATATACTTTCAAATCAGGTTTCGTCACTAAATTGAAGAGGTCTGGAAAGCAGATTTCAAAAGATAACCCCCCAACCACTTATGGTGCCAAAACAAAATTTGTTCCCCATTTCTGACAGTCTACCGAAAGTACCCTGAGATCATTGCTCTGCAGCTTAAGATCGATTTCCAGAGTGGTGACAAGTTCTTCCCCCTACCACTCCCCAACCACAATTGCGACCTCTCCAAACCATATTTAGCATAGAAAACTTGATACTATAGATGATCTTTCAAATGAATGCTACGCCACCATCACTTGCTTTGTAGCGTTTGGTTAAAAATTTTGATTTTTTGAATCCCCAAACCACCTTCTTTTTTCGGAGTGCAGACTCTATCCTATCTCAACAAATGGTACTTCCTATTTCCATCAAAAGAACCCCACAAGAAGTCCCTTATCATTTTTTCAAGTTTTTTTGCTACCGAGCTTGAAATAGAATTTAATGACATTTGGTAAACCGGTAAATTAACCAAACAAGATCGGAGCAAGGTTACTCTACCCCCTAGAGATAAATATTTTGGCTTACAAAGGTCAAGCTTCGCCTGTACTCTTTCCAATACCTTATCCCAAACTGAAACAGATAGCCTTGAGTCCGAAATAGGAATACCAAGGTAAACCACAGAAAAGACCCAACCTTGAATCCAACCTTATTGGCCAAAGACTCAACATCTGTAGGGATACAATTGATTTCAATAAGTGAAGACTTGTTAAAATTCACTTTAATACCCAAAGTCACCACACAACATTCCAAACACTTAGCAACACTTCTCACTTGCGAACTATCAGCATCACAGAAAATTAAGGTGTTATCAATATATTGTAAGTGAGAAATTATGATTAGAGAGTTCGCAATCTTAAAACCCGAGAAAAACTAGCCTGTTCCACCTTAAAAAGTATCAAGCTAAAGTATTCAGCATAGATAGTGAATAAGAATGGGGACAACAGATCTCCTTGGTACAAACTTCTTGAGGCATTAAAGAAACCAATAGGGCTTCTTTTGTAAATAATCGAAAAATAAGATAAAGATAAGCATCCCCAAATCCAACTCAACCATCTATTACCAAAACCCATCCTGTTCATAATTTTCAATAAGACCCCCTACTTCACTCTGTCATAGGCCTTCTCCATATCTAGTTTAAGCATCACCTCTGGCTTTTTTTCCAAAACCCGTGAATGAATACATTCATGTACTAACAATACACTATCAGTGATTTCCTACTTTTCAATAAAGGCTGCTTGTGTGTAAGAAATTAGGAGCAATAACACACCTTTCAATCTTTCAGCTAAGACTTTTGCAATAATCTTATAAAGACTAGTGAATAGGCTGATTGGTCTGACATCCGAAATACTTGAGATTACTGATTTCTTGGGAATCAGTGCCAAAAAAGTTGCATTTACCCCTCGAAACACATGTCCTGTGATAAAAAAGCCCATTGCCATTTCTAGCAACTCTCCCTTAACCAACTAGCAAAATTTATGGAAAAAGTCTAAAGGGAAGCCATCTGGTCCTAGAGCCTTATCGTCAAGAAGAGCGAAAACTACTCTCATCAACTCTTCTAATGCCACTTCTCTTTCCCGATGGCTTTGCTCATTATTAGGTAGCATTTTAAAAGGAATTCTATGAAGCTTTGGAGTGAAAGACACTTCCTTAGAAAATACCTTTTTGAAATGGTCGATCATTGCTAACTTAATAGCCTTATCATCATCAGAGTCGATTGCAGGGAAAGTCAAGCCAGAGATGTCATTTTGCCTTCTTCTGGCACTAACAATCGCATGAAAGAATTTGATGTTGAGGTCCCATTCCTTAAGCCATTTGAACCGCGACTTTTGCCTCCAATAAATTTCTTCTACTCTTCGTATGTCATGCAGTTCTATTAATTTTTCACTTCTCTCCAAAAAGAACTGTTCAGTGAAACATCCACTTTCTTGAATATTTTGATCCAAACATTCTATATCAAGTAACACCTTTTCTAAATTCCTTTTGATATCAAAGTGATTTTCTTTCTTCCAGTTAAGCAACTTACGCTTGATAATCAACAATATATTGTGTAATTGTAAGTCCATAGTGCCGTCATCCACACAATTAGTACACGCCCCTTTGATCATCTCCACCACCCCATCCATTTCTAACCTTTCCAAATTTAATCTGAAAGGTTTTGGGTCTGCATTCACCATAGTCGTATTCAAAAGAATAGGTTGATGATCAAAGCTCAATCTTGGCACGGTCCTTATCGTTGATAATCGAAACTCCTCTAGCCATTCTATTGAAATTAGGAATCGATCAATCTTAGACATAGCTGGCCTTACCAAACTATTATTGGACCAAGTAAACTTGGAGCCAATAATAGGCTGATCCATGAAAGCATTACTTTCAATGAATCGATTAAAGAGTCTCAAAGTAGAATTAATAGGGTGGCTGCAAGACATTCCTCTGGCCGTCGAATTAAGTTAAAATCCCCCCCGCCCCCCACTACGACTAGAAATTGAAAGGAATGAATGACATAATTCATCTCATTTATAAAATCTTCCTTAAGCGCAGAAATAGTGGGTCCATAAACATTCATGAACCCCCAAGAAAAACCAGTTCTAGGACCATGAAACCTCAACAGTAAGCAATTGTTTTTAACAATAACGTCAAAATTTTGTAGAAACAAAGGGTCCCACAAAACCCCCAGATTGACCGACTGCATCAATACCAAAAAAAGCTACTGCCCTGAACCCCAAACTTCCCTGGCCCCAACCACAGTAGGCCGGGAAGTTTGGTTTCTTGTAACAGCAGAATAACTGGTTTGTACTTAGATACCAAAAAAAGAACATTGTTTTTCCTGCGAGAACCTCCCAGTCCCCGCACATTCCAAGCAAGAAAGTTCATTAAATCAAAGGTTGGAAGAATAATCACATGGTCCATGAGGACCTGCCCCAAAGTAATGCTCCTTTAGAAGAAATATTTTATTGAGATCGTCAACATTATCACCACTGATGTAAGCACTCGAAAAAGAGGATGATCCAACATCTATCAGCTTCGGACCACGAAAGGCCTTTCTTAATAATTCCACGAGCCTCCAACCGTGTCGAAGACCTCGTCTCCACTGTTGTCATGTCTTTCTTTTCCCCTTTCACCTTCTCTTTAGCTGGAGTCTTCAGAGCACTTTCCGTAGTGGCCGGAACGGTAGCATCCTTTTTGGTGAGCATTGGCAAAGTGGTTGCAACCAAAATCTCAGCCCTCTTCCTACGATGATCCTTAATCTCTTCAAAGACCACTCGAATGGGGACTTCATCCATCCCCATTACATCCAGCAACTCAGTAATTTGACGGCCATCCTCCAACACTTGGCCTTCCACTGGCACGTCTAAATTTTCCAGATGATGAAACTGAGTTTGGTTACCACGAATCTCCTCTACATTCGCATTTGCACTTAGGAAGTTGCCCACAGGTTCATCATTCCTTTGGTCACCATCCGACAACTTGGATAAGTTCAGAAGTAGGGATCGTTCCTCATGAACCACTGATAAAGGAGCCACCTGTTCCTCTTCCACCCTGGTCACAAGCACAAGGTCATCCCCTTGCAATGGCACTTCATCAACCCGTCCTTATCTCTATTTCATCTCTATCTGCCCCTAAATGTTCTCTCTTGCTCTCCACGCCACTTTTCTGTCCTTCTTTATCCCTCAAATCTCTCTCTCTCACACGTAAAACCCCCCTCTCTCCCAAGTCTCATCTCTCTCTCCTCTCCCTAATTGGTTGAGAAAGAAGCCATACATGGTGCCTAATTATGGTAGAAAGACTGCCATCAAAAAATGTTATCTATTACGGTACGTTAAGTATCGTAATAGTACTTCAAGTTATTACGATATTTTAATTACAGTAATACTACTTCAAGTTATTAGGGTGTTTTAATTATTAATTATCGTAAAACTCAATATGAATTACCATAAAATGACTACCCTGAAGGTTACTTTTATCCAAAAAAACCCGAAAATGTAAAACTTAATATGAATTACAGTAAAACGACTACCGTGAAGGTAATTTTTGTAAAAAAAAACCCGAAAATGAAGAAAAAGGGTGTAGACGAGGTTTTTGAAAATTGGGGGATTTTTTCCAATTAAACTAAAATATATGTATATTTGCGATAATTACCCTATTTTATAACATGGTTTGATTTTTTTCACAAATTTTTTATTTTTTATTTTATTTTTTAAATAACATGAGTTATCATGCAACTTGAGGATACCCGGCCTCACCCGTAGTGCGAGCTCGAGTCTCGGACCTGGCGGAGTGTCCCGAGACATAGCTTGACATATCCCATTGTTCGACGCCCCTCTTAAAAATCGTGGGAGAATGATCAACAAGTCCCCTAATTGATCTTTTGTCCGATTTCCCTGGTCCTTTTCCCTAGTGTAACCGAATCGGTGACTTGAATCGGTCACACCCATACTCATGTCGGATCGGGGGAATCGGTGGATTGGATCAAAAAAATCGGAAGAATTAGTAATTTTTGTCCCAATTTTTTGGTTACACCCATACCCATGTCGGGTCGGGGGAATCGGTGCATCAGATCGAAAACATTAACGGAATTAGTAATTTTTGTCCCAATTTTTTTAAAAATAAGTAAAAAAAAACTGTTCATCCCTTCTTTTTTTCTCTTGACTAGGTAAATACTTGACTGTAAACGGTAAGTAATCAGTCGGACTCGATGAAGAGTCATTAGAATCGGTGGTTCCGCTAAAAAATCGAAGAGCCTACTATTCTAAATCAACCGAATCTTGGTTTTTTATCGGATTCGAGACGGTCATGGCGATTCTCAATCAGGATTGCTCGATTCCGGATCGGATCAGCGATTTTTAAATCAATAGTTTGAACTTGAAGCAGTGTTTAAAAAAATAGATCGGTGATCCGAATTAGTGTCACCCATACCCATGTTGGATTGGTGAATCGGTTTCTGAGAATCAACAATTTTTATTCCAATTTTTTTAAAAAATCACTATAAATCTCTAAAAATAGTGTTATTTTAGTTTCTAAAATAAATTAAGAGTGATGCATTATATACTTTCATTATTTTGTAAAAATAAGTGAATATTGAGAGTCTTTTTTCATGTCTTGATGCCTGTATAATTATTAATTATGATATAATATTATAATATTACATTAAAATAATTTAAAAATATTAGAAAATACTTTCATATTATAAGATTAAAAAATAATTTTTCATCTAAAATGAATTAGTATCACATCAAACATTTATTAATTCTCTTTACTCGTCCAAAATTATCACAACCTAACTAACTATAATATAATACATTGAAATTGAAATTATTGATTTATATTTATAATCATATGCTATGCAACTAAGAAAAAATTTAAATTTGTCTTATAATATCATCTAATATATATATATATATATATATATATATAAGAAAACACTACGCAAAAGCCTATAGGGGAAATGAATAGTGATTTCGTCTACTCCCATCACCGTCCAAAGTTCATCGCGCGGTTACGATTGTCCGGTAGTGTTTTATTTTTTATTTTTATTTTTTACAAATCAGATTGACTTAAAATTTGAAGAGTGTATTTTATCAAAAATAGGGGAATCTTCAAAAAATATAATGAAAAACCTTGACCAAAATACCCTTGAAAAGTTTC